ACACACCTATGCATTCTATGCATCATGACTTTAATTGCTATACTGTATACTGTCTGTTCTGATGAATCAGTTTTTTAAGAATCTAATGTATTTCTTATATTTTTGCATCATGAAGGTGCCTACATTTCCTCTGAAGTTTGACCTTGTTGAAAGCCCAGTGAAAGTAAATGGGCTGGATCGACTGTATCAGGAGAGTTGAACTCTAAAAACTGTTTCCTCGGCTATTAAATATTTTACTAGTATATTTTACCCGTGTTTGAGCTCAGAAAACATGGGCAATAAGGCTTTATTATTCAAGCAGGTTTTCATGTTTGTTTTTAGAATTTCCGTCAGCAGTCTGAGTTTTCATTTATTCTCCGCTCCTGGTCCCCCGGAGTAAAAAGCCCAGGAATCTGCCCCCCACGGTGTGTGACTCATAGAGCACACAAAGGCCATCGCTGTAGTAAATATCCACTCTTACTTTGCCAGATCTTTTATTTATTTATTTTTGGTGTTGACTCGGATGCTTGACACAGTAGGTGAATTTCCGGGCAAAGTACCAGAACTCTGTGGAGAATGTCACCACATTTAGAGGCAGTCTATTGTTTGCTTTTATACTTTAAGCCTCTGTTTGTACTACTTTATGACCTTTTTCAAATTCTAATAACAGTCAATTCAGTCAGACAATACATGCCTTTTTCATTGCAGGCATTTCAGTCATAGCATATGTTTCAGAGATCTTGTAGCCTACATGTTGGCTCCCTGGCAGTGATAGTGATTTTAAAATGGCAAAATCTCATTCATTTCAACTGAATTATAGTGATCAGTGGATTCAGTTGCAGTGGTGAAGTGTAAGAACACAAATCTTGCATGTAGAAATGTGATATTTGAGAGTTCATTCACCCCTTAGGGTGTTTTCTGATCTAGCGCCCTTGACAGCAATGTTTTTCAGTTCCTTCAAAAATGCACACCATTGTTACAAATCATTGTGTTGTTGTTTTCTGATCTGCCATCGGTATGGTTCGGCACAAAAACCACTTGATTAATGTGGGGAAATGATTGTGATCACAGTTAAAAGCAAACCAAGGTTGATTATTGGAATCTGGGATCCGATACAGCTGTTTGTTTCCAAACCACTTTGTAAGGCATTTAATTTGCCAAGTGACAAACATAGACATACTCCAAAAGAAAAACAATTCTATCCAGTTCTATCCAAAACAGTTAAAGGTTGGCCTGAAGGCTTTAAGAGGTGGCAGAAATAGATATATATTGGGATTTTATTGCAAAAAAATCACATATATCAGTTTTTAGCTTTACTAATGTTCAGAAATATCTAAAAACTGGCATTAGAAATCAATACATTGTTTTATTTCAAAATCTTCAGGAACTTTATCAAATGTGAGTCTTTCTTCATTAAACTCAAGCTCAGAACTTAATCACTTAATCCCAAATCAGGCCATAACAGATGATTAAATTAATTTACATTTTTTTTAGCACATTATTGTTAAACATAGAAAGAGAGTACCTTGGCCTATTAGGCTGTAGTTACATGGCAAAGCACAATATTGCTACCTTTAAAAACTTCAAAAAGCAGATAACAGATAACAGGTGATCAATTATGAAAAAAGGACAGATGTCAGATAAAACAGTCACATTGAGCTGGAGGTAATAAAAGTGAACAGAATTCATATTTCCCAAATGGCATTTGAAGGTGTGCAAAACCCACTATGTGCTGCATAGATTTTAAACAGTACCACAAAGATCTGCATGTTTTTTAAGACTTAATGGCACTAAAAAAGTGCTTTGTTCATTCGTTTTGAGCTGATCTCCAATTCATATTCACTTAAGCAGGATGTCAAACTCAATCTGAATCAAATAGCAACACAGTCTTTGGCCGCTTGCCTACTTTTGCTGAAGGGCAATTTAAACCTGTCATGGCTGGTGAGATGCACCCTGTATACCTCCTGTGTGATTCCTTAAGAAGAAAAATGCTCCAAATTAGCCATGTTTACAAATCAAGGGCTGTCAAGGTGATTAATTACCACCTCCATTCCCAGATAATATCATGTGACATCTGCCCTCTCCCTTCCTCTCAAGTAGTGGCAGAGATCACTCGCCCTGTTGATTAATTAAAAGAGCCCCATGGGTTAACATTTGCAAGCGAACCTTTAGAGCCAGCCGTATTCATTCTTAAACCTGTCCTTGAAACACAGACACACACACACACACGTCCAGGGAGAATGCAGTAGAAGACAGGAAAAAGATTCAGGGGTGAGGTGTTATGTCAGATTTGACAGCTGACTCCAGGTGCTGCATTAGAGACAGACAGGACACGCCTGCTCATAATATCACTTTGATCTTCTTGCCCCTGAGGTTTGCTTAGAGTGCAAAGAAAGGTAAGATAATGACTTCCTCTCTCAAGATTGGAAATAAAAGATAAGAGGAAACTATCTGTACAGCAGATATGGTGTGTCCCTTTCAATTGCAATAGCATCACTGTTATAGTCAGTAGTATTCTCCTACTTGGTTTCCCTGTGTCTGTGTGTTTGGACTCCTCCCACTCTCCTTGATTACCTGCTCACCTGTCTGACTGCTCAAACCTGCCAGCCATCAACTCATCAGCCCTGCAGTATTTAAACCCCTGTTCTCCATCCACTTGCTGCCAGATCCTTGCATCCACAAACCTGGAGCATACCCGTCGCTGTAGCTACCTGCCCGCCACGCTGCCATAATCTTCCAGTTCCACTCTGCCTGGGGTCTAGCCATACCGTCTCACCACTGCTAGCAGGAGCTACACCTCACCATTTCATTCCCCGGATTTCCAATAAAGCCTGTCTTTTGGAATCGTACCAACCGAGTTTGTGATCTGCTTTTGGGTTTCTCTGTTTAACGTAACAATCACCTCACTTGTATTTAACTTTTTCAGCTTCTTCTACTCTAAAATATTATATAGTTAAAGTGGAAAGTAAATTCACTCAAGCACTGTATTGATGTGCAATTTATATGGTATAGTTGTATGAGTATTAGTAATTTGTTTCTTGCAAATTAAGATTTTACAGACATAATATATCAGCTTTTAAAGTTTGCACTCCCTTTATGCTACACACATAGAACAAGATAATAAAATGTATAATAGAATGACAAAATGTTAACAGCAGCAACTAGATAGCGTTGATAATAATGATTAACAACTGAAAAATAATCTCCATCCACTTTGATGAAGCTTGGTGCTCAAACGCGGTCAATGAAAACAAAGTCTACCTCCTCTCGCCCTGTGCTAACACACTTAATAGTCACCATCAATCAATTAAGGTTAAATATGAAATAAGTGATACACATCAATTTACTAGACACAACAGTATACTTCCAACATACAGAAAGCTCAGTCAAAAGACTACTCACCAAAGTTTATTTCAAACCCACGGACACACACGCACTACTACACAAATCTAGTTATCCAAAACACACATACAAGGGCATAATCAAATCTCAAATCATACGATTCCACAGGATCTGTTCTGAGAACACACATTTACAAGAAGCAATAACCACACTTTTTAGTAGTCTAAAAAAGAGAGAATACAGTACCCGCTTCCTCAGAACCATCAAACTCCACGTTGGCTGCTCTCGCTTCCACTCGCTTGGACCATGTTTCCCTGAACCTAATTAACAACCAATTTCCTACAGGTTTGCACCAGAGGGAGAACTGTCCCGCTGAGGTGACCACCGCATCACAGGAGCCCCTCCTCCTCCCCCTCATAACCACCTTTTCCCACAGATTCATCCCCTACACCAAAAATGGAAAAATAATTTCTCTAAACTACAAAACACATACATCCCTTTCCATAATTACAGGATCATCTCAGCAAATAGAAAAAACAAGAACCTAAAGGATCTGCTTACACGATTCAAATACAGGGGGAGGAGAACAGACTCGGACGTCGCAAGATCACTTCCGCCACTCAATTTCCATCACAAACATTTATAGTAATAAAACATTCACTCCAGGGTTATTTTACACCCAATACAACAAATACAGATTAACCTAACCTTTTATAAACTAGTACCTAAACCTAACCTTAACCTTGTTGGGTTAATCCACACCAGACCCACATCCGAACCCTAACCATCCCAGACTAGAAAACCACTCCAACCATCGTAACTATCATGTATATAAACCAAACTTCCAGGACAGAACTCAACCAATTACAACTATATAAACCATATACAACAGTATCACTACTCTTTTGAATCCACAGGTGCAGCTCGGGACGCCGGCTTCTCCTCGCTCTCTCCTCGCTCTCTCCTCTGTCATTTTGAATAAATATATCTATGTGCAGTTGCACAGCCCACCGAGAGGACCAGCCTAGCATTACATCAATGCTGCTCCTCTGGGGGAATCACACAACCAACTCTCTGTCTCTATTGTAATTCCACTCTCCTCCAAAGGCTGTGACTCCGCCCATGACTCCTTCCACACCCTTTTTCCTCTCTACCTGTCACTTTCTTTCCCTCCAAATTCCCCCTCACACCCCCTCCTCACATAGGCCCATTTAAATTATAGGTGGGTCCTCAGCTGTGGGCCAATCAGGAGAGAGGTGGGGCCCAGATTGGAGGGAAATTTGAATTTCTCCTCATATAGGGCCCTTCTTCACTCCAGAGCCTGTTTCCCCACAGCATCCCTCTGAGAAAGCACCACACGGTGCGAAACGTAAGCAAGCCTCGTCTCTGTCGGACCCTCTGTTTTTTAAACCTTTTATATAGTCTATTTTAAATTGATCAGAGACCCATGTTGGTTTGAAATTAGAATTTATTAAAAGTTACGTTTTAAACGCCCGAGGAGCACCACCTACTGCACCAGAGACCTGTTTCTCTTTTACCTGCCTCTCTCGGCCTCTCCACGGAAACAAAACACCACTTTTTCCAAGCATGTCTTCCAGAAATCCCAGGAATTATAACACGGAACTGGATGGAGGCCGCAGCAGCAACAATACCGGGGCAGGTGGAATCAGGTGGGTGACTCACACTCGGGTGGGAACATGGTGGAGGTTGATAGGCCCCGACATGGACGAGGTCATGGGGTCGCAGGCAGACCCACAGCTGACTACCACAGGACCCCACACCACCCACACAACAGGGGCAGAAGTAAAGATAGGATTCCACACAGGCCCTACAACACAACACATACAATTAGACACTCACGATCACCTATCAGACAACTCTTAGACTCTAACACAAGAACATTAGCCAAACACCACTTTAAGTTAATTCAGGCAGTTCACCATTAAAAAACTATACAGACAGCCATCAGCACAGGCCAGTTTCCAGCAGGCATGATGCGTCAGGTCAAAAAACTGACGCATAATTGCTACATGGCAAAAGTAATTTTTCTGTAGTCCTTTTCTGTAAATGAGTGAACAAAATGCGGTAGAAATGTTTTAACCTCTTACTCTTTTAAACAAGTTGATGCCTAATTTTGTGTGAAACAAAAAGCCAGGTTGCTGCACTGCAATTGAGAACAGGTTAAATCATCCATAATACCAGATTTGACGTAAATACAACTAATTAAAATGAAATATAATAAAATTATGGGCAAATTTGACTTGATAAAGCCATTTGTGCAGAGTATATAAATTAACCATCATTATGTAAACTAAATAAAACCATCTCTGCCTCAACCAAGTTCAACTTTACAGCCCCTCGAAACACACACACACACACACACAGGTGTTTTCATGTATTTTGCCTGATTAGACCTCTGCTCAGGACTGTGCTTGATTGAACTCCTAGAAAAGTCGTACTAATCTATTGCTGTTATCTGTACTTAGCACCTGCACTTTTTTATTTTACCTTCATTCAATTCAATTTTATTGTATAGCAGCCAATTCATAAACAGAAGTTATCTAGAACACTTTTCAAATAGAGCAGGTTAGACGAACTCTTTATAACATTATTCTTATTATATCCTTATATTATCCTTCTATAACTGCTGCACACTGTTCAAACGGTTAAAAGCCTACTGTTCATGGTGTATATATCTTAGGATATTCCCATCTACCCCTTACCATTTTTCCTATGTATTACAACTAAGTATTCTGCACTTTACTGCTTTTTGCAAACCGCTGTCTCAGTACTTGTACACTGATGACACAAAATGATGATTGGATTAAAATTTATAGCTGCACACTTAGAGCATAACAATCTCTGCATCTATCAAATGGGGCACATCAGATGGTGTTATTGTTAGCAGAAAGTAGTTCATGCTATGGACACTACTTTACCACTGTATTTGAGTGTCTGCATTGAAATCCATGCACTATATATTGCCCTCAGTCCAAAGAATCAAAGAATAACCAGTAAATATAGAGCACTTAACAGTGCTGTAAAGAGGGAGTGATTACAGACACAGCCATTGACTGACTCTTATGTTAGCTTTGTTGCACCTGTAAGGGCAGGTTAAATGTCAAGATAACTGAAAACACCTGTAGATGTACGGAGTCATTATTATCATTATTGATAGGGATCCAATTATATATACAGATGGTAATAAAACATTCAGAGAGGCGATTCTGCACAGTGAGCACTTTTACTTCTACTTGAAGGTCCAATTTGCAACTTCTACTTCACTGTAAAGTCCATTCTCAGTGCTGAACTGGTGGCTACAGGTTTCTTTACATCTCATTTTGTATGAGACACATGTGTCCAGCAGGAAAGACTGTAGAAATTAACAAATTTAGCAATATTCTAGATTCTGTAATTTAGGATTGTGGAGGGTGGAATTATCTTTTCTTGTGGAAAAAACATAGACTCACATTATTGTTCCAACCAGACTGTTTGCATATACTGTCTTATTACATATTAGAGACTTAGAGACAAACTTTTTTTGTCATTTTGGATTTGGCATCAAAATGAAATTACATTACAATGGCACATAGCACAACAGGAATAGATAATATCTGAAGTTTATTGTTATAACATTTCTCTACTTTTACTTTTATCTAGTAGTTTTACATTGAGATATAGTTTTACTTAAGGATCTGAACAGTTCTTCCACCACTGCTTAAAAATATTATTCATTTAAGCATTCATGCACAGAGAATGCTTTTAGAAGTAAGCTGAGGCATGTGTACACAGCTCCCAACTATAGGCCTTGCAGTCAGTTATTATCCATTAGATGCTGTTAAACAAGCTAGCAGTTCATAGGAACTTCAGTAATTTATTCCTAAAGCCCCATATTTACCAAGAACGCAGCATCATTCACCATCCCCACTTTGGTCCTGATATTAAAAATACAATTACCATATTTCATCACTTATGACAAGCCTTTGAAAGCGCTGATAAACCATGACTGCATTATTATTTCCGCTCTGACAAGCAGTCTAATATATTCTACAGCAGTGAATTTCATTTGATATGTCATGACAAACTGCATTGCATTCTGGTGGCTCTGAGAACAGCCCCTAAACTCAAGCAAGCTTTCAGTGTAATTCAATCACACATCTCGGCGCCTGTGTTTAATCTACCACTGTCACAAAACACACTATACGTTTTAAATGATGGTGTGATTCCCTTCTTAAATGTACAAGCCAAATCCCAACGTTATTCTTTCCATAATGGCAAAGTTTGTTTGCTGTGCACAGAGTACAGAACAATTGAAAAAACTAAAAAGGCCACTAATTTGTGTCATGTAAAATAGCCTATATGGGCGGCGTGGGATTTTGAAATAATATTGTTCTTTGCTCACAGGATTAAAGCGTAGTCACAGCTTTGAATATAAACCATTTGCACATCTTAAAATGTAATTAGTCATTAAGATATTTTCTCCGTGTTGCTGCCTCAGCCTTTTGTATGAGGAGGCAGTCTGTTCTATCCTGATAGCAGCTTCATTATGAAAAAGAATACCGTTCTCAAATATTAAACACTTTGATGTTTCACATCGCCACAACTGAAGTAGTTTAGCTGCAGGAACATTTTCCTTTATTTACATGAAAACATATGGTGTTCCAATTAATAATAATTCCATTGATTTTTACATAGCACATTATAATTTCATGATGAGTTGTAAAGCTGTGTTTTTAACATAATCACAACACATTTACAGATTTTTCTGTGCTTATGCTCATATTTCCATATGTAAACTGTATCTTGCTGCTCTGAAAATTTTGGTTTCATAGTGACTCACTTGGTGCTCAGGTAACCAGCCTTCATACCTAGGGTTTCTCATTCTTTGTTTCTGTTCGAACACAAACTGCCGACACACACATACAGATGCTAAAAAAAGACACACATATGCACACCTACTGGCATTTTGATTACCAAAGAGACAGTGAGAAAAACACCACAACTAAGCTATGAAGGCTGAGAAATATTGTTAAGGGGAAAAATCACAAAACAGGATTGTTTTGTTTTTTTCATTTTTGCAAAGGCCCCTTCTTTTATTTTTTTCATCTTTTAAATATGTTCATAAATACACCATATCTCCTAAAGCAGTAGCCTTACAGTTTAACCTTAAGACTCCCTTTCCAGTGCCTTTATTGGCATCTTATATGATGAACATCTGTGTTGTAAAAGTTTCATATTTGAAAGGGCATGAAAAGCATAGTGTACCGGAAATCCAAAGACAAAGATTTTAATTTGAACTCTTTAAATTTTACCCACCACTTCTGACATCAAAGATGAAAGTATGGACCCTGATAGTCATAATGCTGCATGATCTGCTCTGTATGAGTAAATACACTGGACAACACACTGAATGACTGGTGACTGACAACTGGAGTAGCGGCGGTAGATAACCCCGACAAATCTTGTGAGAAAGCCAAATGTTGTTGTCTCTGGGTAACATGCACTGCATTGTCTACTGTCCTCTGGCATTAAAGAAATTGAATAACATCTCCTCCATCCTGTCTTATGCCTCACAAATCTTTTTCAGAAATCATTCTGAGAATCATTGTGACTTGAGGACCACTTCACCTCCATGTGACACTTCTTCAGTCTGATTGTACCAATCAAGCAACAATGGCTACCTGAACATTCAGAGACTCTTATACCAAGCTCCCTTGTTACATGATGATGAATCTGATCATAAGCCAAACACACATGGCGTTAAATATGTGATATACTGCAGTATCATTGCACACTGTAGCACTTAGAGACATTTGAAGTATCACCTTCCATCTGGAGGAAGTGTATTTCTGATAATGAGCATAAAAGATTTGACATACCATCTGGCAAAAGTGTTCCTCTGAAAAACATCACCACACTGGCATAATATTCAGAAATCATGAAAATGTGAACAACTTGATTTTGAGAATACTTTCTAATAGCACATTTTGTGAAAGTAAAAATATAGGAATTTGCTGATCAGTTTGACATTTTTGTAAAACAAAAAAATTAAAAAAAATTTAGTCTGGTTGTTGAAAATGCAAAATCTGTTGTCTAGAATGCAGCCACAGTGCATGGAGCAAAATGTTTGTGTCAATAATTGATTGTGTACACCCAGAACAGTGCTAATCAATACAATCTTCTGCCAAGGCTTGCTGTGTCAGGTAACTGATGACTGACCTGCTTTCCTGAAGCAAATTACAAACTCTTATTTATTATTAATCAACTGATTTCATTTATTCTCAGGCTTTGAGCTTCTGATGCATCATTTACCAGTTGACCAGGTTCAATCCCATGAAGAGAACTATCTTTAAATTCATTGTATGTCTTTAAAATCTATTACAACATGTTGGATTGGTGTTGTATTAACTGGCTCAATTTATAACAAACCCTGCAGAATCAAAGCCAACCAAAGTATTATTTTTTTTTAATTGATTGTTAAATAACTCCCCCAAACAACAATTGTCCAATCATAGTGTAGCAACAGTAACTAAGCAACACGTTTTCAGATTTCTCCACATACTTGTGGTGTGCATGAGGCTCAAAAAAGACTGCTACATACTATTTAAAGAGCTTGAAGGATGGTGTCTTTTGCACCATCTTTCCAAAACCAGACAAAAGTGTAATGAATTAATTAAACTGCTGCTTATCTTCTCTAAGGTAGTCTAATCTAAGAACATTAACCCTGTGGGAGCAAACATGTAAGTGAAATTTGAGTAATGGCGACACTTTACACTCCTGAAAACTTCCACTGGATGTTACATTTCTCATCAGTTATTCCTCATTCTG